CATCATTCACTCCGTGGATATGCTACGGCTTTTTTCATTCTCATCTGCCCACCTATTTTTTTGCATTCCTATCATGAGCTTGGCTTCTCTTGGAATGCAGTCAGTTAGCGTGCACATTATTAAATTAAAATAAGGATAATATTTGACCAACATGTTGGTGGTCCACGGAATGGAATGAAAAAACTGTATTTCAGTCCTGCAGGACGCGCTTAGCGGGCGTTTCCCACGTAGGCACCGACAGGGAGTACCTGGTGGCCGCTTCATGGGCCTGCTGAACGGCCCATTGCTAGTCGGCAAGAAGTGAGCTCCTGAGGGACCTCTCCCACTTGTTTGAGGTAAAGTCGGGAGGAGTGTCTCTACACTCGCAGAGCATTTGTGCGAGTGTCACCGTGTGTCCACTCGAGGGGCATGTGTCGCTGGGGTATGCCTCACAATAATAAACGTGAATTTTGGCATGGTTTGGGTACGTATGTACGTGTGCGCTGCTCAGGTAAGAGGGCCTCAAGGTCTTGTGAGGCTGCTGCATCCATCATGGCAATTCGACTACATACAAACTATTTCGGATGACCAGTCGAGCTGTGCAAGCCGCAGAGGTTGGATGTGATGCGCAGTGGCCGTGCGGAGAAAGACATCGGAAAGCGGCAGTGTAAGCTTCTTTAACTTGCGGCACAGTTCACCACTTATCACCACTTAGCACACACACGGCAGCGCCAGTATCAATAAGCGTTTTCGCTGGTACACCATCAATATGCACAGTTATTTCATTAGCAAATAAAAACGGAGGCCTCGAAGGTTTTGATATGTGCGTAGCTCTTGCCTCGGGAACTGCGATGGTTAGTTTTTTGTTTGGGCGAGTGGTGATCGAGGAAGCATCGGAGAAATAGAGCGGCGCCGTGGTGAAGGCGACCGATCTTTTCGCGGCGACTGATCCGACGTGGGGGGAACGAAGACTGTGGTGGCTCTGGACGATAGGAGTCGTAAGTCGCCTCACCAGCAGTTCAGTTGTAATCCCGACATCGGCAGTAGCGTGCTACATGACCGGGAAGATGGCAGAAATAGCAAATTGGCCTTTTGTCCGGAGTGCGCCAAGGGTTAGTTGATGGTGGTGCGATGTGGCGAACAGGAGGTGGGTGGGGACGGATAGGTGGACTTGCTGCGTAGAGGGGACGGGGCTGTTGAGAAAGATTCGAGATGATTGGTAGCGACGGCGGCGATCGTCTGGTGGCCTCAGTGTAAGTGAGAAGGGCGGAGATAGGTGAAGGATGGTATGTGGGAAACAGGGCGTCAGAAACTTGCTCTTCGATTGCCTTGCGGAGCGTTGGGGTCAGTGTGCGTGCACTGGTTGGGACGTACGGCACAAGAGACAATTGGCACGACGTTTCTTCTCGGACGAACTGCTGGATTTGCTGCATTAGCGTGGTTTGTTCAGAGGAAACAGCGTCCTTAGTTCATCTGCAACGATCGCTCGACCACTCATCGACCTTCTGAAGAAAGTTGTGACTTTTACGTGGGGTTCCCCTCAAGCTGCCGCTTTTTCTCATTTCATCACACTCCTGATGACTCCACCTATATTTGCCCACTTTGACCCGTCTGCGCCGACACAAGTCCGAACGGATGCGAGTGGTGACGGGATTAGAGCCGTCCTAGCCCAATGCCAATGGGGACACGACGGAGTTATCGCCTACACTAGCCGCCTTCTCACAGCTGCCGAGCGCAGCTATTCAATTACAGAGAGTGAATGTCTTGCTCTTGTTTGGGCAGTCATGAAGTACCGCCCGCATTTATATGGCACGAATTGCTCTATAATAACGGACCACCATGCGCTATGTTGGCTTTCGTCACTGAAGGATCCTACTGGCCGGCTTAGGCGCTGGGCCCTGCGACTGCAAGAATATACCTATGCAGTCATGTACAAGTCAGGACGCCTACATCAGGACGCAGACTGCCTGTTCATTAATCGATGAATTGAGCACCATCTCTGACACTGACACCGATACTTGCGTCTTTTTCGTTTCGCAACTGACCCGCATCGGTGACAAGCAACGCCATGACGCATCCTTGGGTGTTACAAGCGAATGTCTGAAATCACCTTTTTCCGACAGGTCACATCGCTAATTCGTCCCCCACAATGGCATCCTATACCGCCAGAACTTCTAGCCAGATGGACCAGCCCAGCTGCTCGTCCTTCCGAAACACTTTCGCTCAGAAGTTCTCCACCAACTTCATGACCTTTCAACTGCCAGTCACCTTGGTGCATCACGCACTTACGACCTAATTCACCGGCGCTTCTTTTGGCAAGAGATTTTATGCACAGTCAGAAGATACATTGCGGCTTGTGATAAATGTCAGTGCCGCTAAACACCATCGGCGCTTCCAGCCGTACATTTTCAACCACTTGACATTTCGTCAGAACCTTTCTTCTGCGTTGGCTTAGACCTCCTGGGCTCTTTTCCTTTGTCTTCTTCTTGCAACAGGTGGACAGCTGTGGCCACAGACTACACCACGCGCTAGGTCATCACACAAGCACTTCCAACAAGCTGCGCCACAGATGTCACCAACTTCCTCCTACTCGACGTGATTTTGCAACATGGAGCTCCATGCCAGCTGTTTACAGACCGTGGCCGCACCTTTTTATTAACGGTCATGGCCGATATCCTACAGTCATGTGAAATGAGGAACAAGCTCGCTATGTCGTACCACCTGCAGACAAATGGACTCACGGAGCATCTGAATCGAACGCTTACAGACATGCCTGCGAAATATGTTTCTTCCAAGCACTCTAACTGGGACCTTGCTTTGCCATATGTGACATTGCATATATTCTTCTCGCCATGACACTGCTGCTTACTCTTCATTTTTTCTGTTGTTCGGCCTAGAACCTACATTACCCTAGGTACAGTTATTTTGTCTACTGCGACACCGACCAGTGAATATGCCCTTGGCGCTATCACTCAGACTACCCATGCACGCGAAATTGCCCACACTTGCTTGCTGGCCTCTCAAGGAAACCAGCGGGGTTTGTACAAGCAATGGCACCACGACGTCAATCAATGGCACCACGAGAACTTCTCGCTACACAGGTCCATACCGAGTCCTTCGTGAGGTTACTACTGTGACATACAAAATTTCCCCTGCTGCCTCAGCGCCTTCAACTGCCCCACAGACCACCGATATCATACATGTGGCACGCTTGAAGCCTTACCACTCTCCCGCTGATGTTGACATCTAAATGCATCGAGATGGCGCTTTTGCCGCCGAGGATTACGCTACATGCACCTCACAAAGAGGTCGAAGGGTTGTCTTCGCTCGGTGGCTGGTCAACCGGTCACGCCACTGCTGCTGGTTTGAAATATATTTCATCCACAGCCTCGCCGATACAGCATCTCTTCTCTTTTGTAACAATATCATCGATATTAACCCTGAAGCAAAGTTTATTGTTTACAAGAATGACACGAGTTTATTTTTCACTGGTAAAGATATTCATGATCAAATAGAACAATGTAACAATAGAATAAAAATCTAGAGGAGTGGTCTGGAATAAATTTTATGAAAATAAATAAAGGCAAGCCAAATGCAGTCATATTTAGGCAAAATAACAAGCGCATGCCTCCCTATTAAGACATTATGTTACATTTATGAAGTATTGAAATTACTGAGAACTTCAAATGTCTGGGTGTTACCTTCTTTTGCCAACATGTCACGGGATAACCACGTGAATTATGTTCTAAATAAGGCAAGCAAAATAACTTATGTAGTAGGCCATTTACGCAACATTTTTACCACATGTATTAAACTTATACCATATAATCAACTTTTTCAATCACATTTAAGCTATTGTCAAATAGTATGGGATAACGCAACCTACATCAATCTAGAATGTATTTTTCTGTTTCCTAAAAAAATATCTTCGCCACACATACAATGCTTCTTACGCAGCACCTACAATAACTTTAAGAATCCTAGCGTGATTCCTGCACATATTATAATCTGTACAAATATTGTTTGAATCACACATATAAACTAGATAACTATTGGAAAATAAACAACCTACGTAATCTCGACCAGCTTCAAAGAAAAGCTTAAAGCTATGGTACCAGACACTTAGAGGAGTGGTTAGTGCCAATACCGTGTTCAAACTACAAAAAACAAATGCTCATCTACACAATGGCTACACTATTTAACAGCAATAAATCAATACAATCTGATTTTTTTATGGCCTCCCTCAAAGAACCTCAAAGGATGTATGTGGTTTCTGCATAGATTCATGTTGCAATGTTTACACATTTTTGATTTCGTTGCCTTTTAGGGGCGAAGCTCCTTAAAGTGTGGGTCATGCGTCCCCGATGTATGTAGTAGTAGTAGTAGTCGTAGTAATAGGTAGCCACCTTTCGTTTAGTCCTTGAAATATCTGCTGGATGGTGGTACTTGTATATGATGAGTATATGATAATGTTGGCCTCGTCGGCTCAAAAGGACATAGACGGCTGCCAGGATTTGTCGCGGCACCACCATAGAGTCGCTGCGCCGTGTCATGTCCAGTAGGTCGTAGTCATGCCAGGCCCCGGAAGTTCCCGCGATGGCCGTAGAAGGAAAAAAGTCGATCATGGCGAGTTTCGTCATATGCGCATATAGTGGAGCTACTAACTCCTTTTTTAGCGGTCGGATAAGTTAGTGTGCATTTTCCTTGTTAGGCACTCAATGCGGCTAAAGTTTTTATTTTAAGATATATCAAAAAACTGTTGAAAGAGTAGTTACTGCGTCATTTTCATAAAAAATCGAATAAAATATTTCTTTCTCACTTTTATCAGTAATACAAGAGCGGTGATCGTTTTAGTTTAAATATTGAGATTATCCTGATGCTCGAAAAGCAGCAGCCCATTGGCATCGATTGCGTTTCTGTTGGTTAATTTGTTCAAATTGTCCGCGGTTAGCCGCGGTACTTTTTGTCGATTGGCATTGCAAAGCTTCGTTTTAATTCAGTTTTCATATATTAATGCGAGCTTGCGTGTCAGACTTTACGGGCCGCTATGACGTAGCGAACGTATCTAGAGGCTGCAAACCATGTTAGCTGCTGTGCTTCACCGACATCCGGCTGCGCAGCCTCCAGTGTGAAAATTCACGTACAAGTAACCTAATCCAATCTAACCTAACCCAACCTAACCTAACTCAACCTAACCTAACCTAAAACGCCGGCAAATCGCTCGGAGACTGCTTATGAAGACGAAATAATCTTGCACAATGTGGGCGTGTTCACCGGTGAGTGAAAATGTGCTGCTTTGCATCTGCGCATGGCCCTTTTCCTTTGCATGCGCTACAGTTTTTGTTATTTCACAAGGCTTTTCGACTTGGTACAGCTAATGAAATGCACACCTTGTAAAGTTTGAGATCGTTTACTTCGTTGTCACATTCTTTACTCTTTACTGCGAAAATTTGTAGCAAAGATCAAAGCATAAGTTTTACCTGTTTCTGCTCAAAATGAGTCTGCTGCAATATACGCTCATAAATTCAATACGTAATAGAGCCAAGTGAACCTTAAGTAATATAAGCATTTGTACATTTTTCGTAAGTTTACAATCAAGCATATTACAGTTGCATGAACCATATAATTCATCAAGTTGGGGAATTATCCAGCTTTGTCCTCTGAAGAACTTCACTAAAACAAATTCATTATAATGCCATACAAGACAAATTCACAAAAACAGCAATGTTATGTCCACACTACCTTTCTTATATGCAGTGTTCCCATATACATATTTTTTAGTCATGCATCACAAATCTGTTCACGTTTCTATCAGAGTAACTAGAACTGTTTTTTTTTTTTCTTACAACCCAACCGCAGCCTCCAAGGAACTGCTCATACCAGTGTACGCTTGGATGCCTCACCACTCTGAACCTATCTCAAGTCAGTGAAGAATGTGTCATCACCGAAAGCAAGCTCATGGGCCAAAACCCTCGCAAGGTATGGTTGAAGATATTTTATTTATTGAACATAATTTGTTGAATCATTTCTGTCGTGCCCTGCTCATGAGTCTGTTTTTTTTTCTTCTCAGAAAACTGGACTAAATAGAGACCATTTATTTCCAAGCTACCCACATCCAGTCGTAAGAAGCTCTACAGTTGCCATTGTGACAATCCTATGCGCCACCAATATGCCAGGCGGACAAATGGAAGCCATATGCCGAAAAGCAGTGATAGCGTACGGTATGTTCAAGCTGTACGACATTGGGTGCACAGATTGTTGTTTCTTGCTTTATGAACTACTCAGTTTACCGGAAACGTGCAGGCTTCAAAATTCTTGGACAGTGCATGTCATGGGGTGCACATACAGTATTTCACGCTACGTTTCGCACTTTCGATAGAGTATCACATATAACTAGGTAACAAATGGGCTTCTAGTAGTGCATATTTAGCAGCACTTCTTTTTCACATTGTGTATAAATTGCTGTGAATGTAACGACTGTGCAAGGCAGTGGTAGGTAGAGCTATAGTAGTGTTGAAACAGTTACTGATACCGTGTGCATGTTGGGAGTCACACTATCAAAATACTTGAAAAAACTGTGCAAGAACTCGTGCCTTCATTAAGCAAGACATGCCCTGCAGAGGTAGCAATCGCGGAGCCGAACCATGACAGTAAAATACCTAGAAGAATAAGGAAGAATAAAAATGGGTGGATCACATTTGGCAAGCATTCTCAAATCACGAATGATAATCTGTCACTAACTCTCAAGCTGAACATATATAACAGCTGTGTCTTGCCCGTACTTACCTACGGAGGCTTACAAAGAGGGTTCAGCTTAAATTGATGACGACGCAGCAAGCGATGGAAAGGAAAATAATAGGTGTAAAGTTAAGACACAAGAAGAGAGCAGAGTGGGTAAGGGAACAAATCGGTGTTGAAGATATCGTAGTTTAAATCAAGAAGGAGAAACGAACATAGGCTGGGCACATAGTACGCAGGCAGAATAACCGCTGGTCATTAAGGGTAACTGACTGGATTCACGGAGAAGGAAAACGCATGAAGTGAAGACAGAAGGTTAGGTGGGCCAATGATATTAAAAAGTTTGTACGTATAACGTGGCAGCAGAAAGCACGGGACCAACTTGATTGGCCGATCATAAGAGAGGCCTTTGTTCTACAGTGGGTGTAATCAGGCTGATGATATGCCAAAAACAACCACCACGATGCTTGCAAGCAGTGAACCGTAGCGCTGAAACGTATGGCAATATTTGTGCTTCAAAACATGTTTGTTTACATGACAGATTTAATGCAATAAAAATGAGAATTAATCAATTATTTTCATTCGCTTGCATTTCTTCCACTGTGACTCCATGATCATCCTTCGTAGCTTGTCCAAGGGCTCTAGTTAAGCATCCGAAATCTCATCTGCTGAGAAATGCTGCTGTTGGGTTGTTTTCCTCCTCTAGTAAATTTAGTTTGGTTTGATTTTGCAAAATGTTGTGATCACTCTGGACAGACTTGTGCAAGCAGCAACGAAAACAAGGGGCCCCCAGTTTGAATTAGCTGTTGCGGATACCAATGTGTTCAAATTGTCGAGAGATTTCCACCAATAGAAATACACAGGGCTGTGCGCTTTTACTTAACCGAGTTCAAATAACAACCTTTTACTGTAATATTATTTGTTCTATGCAAAACACCTGATGCACGACAAGGCATTTTTAAAGGTATGTTAATTTTTAACAGAACAATGACTGAGTGCATTCAGTAGGTATAATCATAGTTTGCCAGTGTTTGTACATGTTGATGATTCGACTGTCTACTAAAAGCGATTTTCTTGATATTGCTGTGAAATATGTAGCCAAAAGAACTAGTTTTGTATGGTACCCGTGTTAACAGTTAGGAAGTAGTGAAGAATAAAAATGTGAATTGAGCTTCTGTCGTTGTCCATTGTTTGAGCAGTGTCTTTGATGACTATGCACCATAGGCATAAAAAAACTCATTTATTCATCTGTCAATGCAAAGCATAAAAGCTTAAAAGGTCATTCAAAAAGTAAGGGCCATTTGGTTCCAAGCAAGTAAATATTCATTAGCAAAAGTCTTTATTGGTGGGCTTAGTTTAGCAACAACCTATTTCACTTTTCTACATAATCACTGCTACCTTCTTCGTGCTTCTCGTTCCGTCCCAGTAGTTTCTTTAGTCAATCTGAATAAAAGATTGCCACTTGGTAATTGAATCTCTGGCAAACGGGGATTGTGAATTTTTCACTGTCTTCAAATCGTACCCCGAGCCACTGTTTCAAGTTAAAGAACAGGAAATAATCACACGGCACAGGACAGTAGGGCGAGCAATTAGTGTTCCCTACCAAAATATTTGATCTTCCCATTGGTTCTGATTGTGGTGCAAGGATGCTCGTTGTCATGTAGGAGGCCGATTCTGGATGAGAATTTGTGACGTCATCAATGTTTATCGTACTTATTACTGTGGTGAGTGTTTCACAGTATATGTTAGCTGTAAGTGTGGCCCACATTTTATGAAATTCAACACTGCAAATTCTCTTTTTGACTTGGAAAATGGTAGCCAACATTTTCTAACTGGAGTAAGCTAATTGCTTGGATTTTTTTTCAGTTTTTTGTGAAAAAGATTGGTGGCACCACTGTGTTGTTTCTGCGATTGCGTACATACACTATGAAGTGTCCTCACCTGTAAAACAGTGTGCAAAAACAAATCACCCCTGCTTTATCGGTAGCAGTTCAAAAACGCTCATCCACTTGATGTCCTTCAGTGTTTGAGTTGGTCGGTAAGCATTTTTGGAACCTAGCTTTGTGATATCTGGGCATATCGGCTACAATTGTGCAAATTGTAGCAAGGCCAACAAGAAAAACTTTGTCTTACAGACCACTAACTGATAGTCCTCAATCTATTGCAATATCCTGTCTACTTGGAAAGTTTGGTTGATCTGGATGCCTAGCGTGGTGCTCCACTGTTTGTCGTACACATTTGTGCAGCCACTTCGGAAGTCTCAACACCGTGTTCCGACACTTGTTTCATTCCTCACACTTGGTCCATGAACTATGCACAACTCCTCGTAAATTGGGAAAGCTAGTGATTCTTTTCCATGCGAAAATGTAAATACAGTGTGCACTCCACAACAGACGGGAGCAACAATATTCGCCAACATTGTTGTCTGCATTCCTCATCAAGCAGATGGCTACTGAGCCAGAACAATCACTTCAGTATTTTCGCTGAGAAGTAGCAGATTGTACTGTGCACATGACTCTTTAGTCTGACCTGCAAACACTTAAAGACGAGGAAATAGCCCTTACTTTGTGAATAAACATCGTAGAAAATTTCGTTATGCAGATTTGACTGCAATTATTATTCACTACCTATTTTTCTAACATTGCTACTGTGACTTCCAGCACTTCTCAGCTGTCTAGTGTTACTGGTGTCCCATATGTCCCTATTGTATGCGTATATGTCATGTGCAGTGTATTGGGTGTGGTATCCACTGGTGCATAATTTCTTTTTTGTGAATGAGTGCTTTTGGGAGCACCAACAGGCATCCTCTATCTCGTGTGTCAGCTTTTTTATTTATTCATGTTACCCTACAGGCCCCAGAAGAGCATTGAGTAGGGGGGGTTACAGAAAAATCACAATAACATAAAGCATAAAAAGAAATTATATCGAAGAAAACAAAGAAAATTGCACAATGGAAGGGAGAAGAACAAACACTATAAGCAAACGCAGCAAAAAAACAAAATGAAAAAAAAAAATAAAGCATCGTTATACAAAATTAAGAGAACATATAAATTTGCAGTAGCTCACGAAATTTGACCGGATCTCTTACAGAAACAATTTCATCCGGAAGGCTATTCCAAACTGCGATGGCGCGTGGCAATGCAGAATTATTGAATGACTGAGTGTTGCCGAAGATGCGTCTGAAACTGAGATGATTATGAAGTCGACTAGATGTACGCGAAGGAATGTCAAGCGATAGACGACTGGTCCACGAGTTGTAGTAGTACTTATGGAGGAGGCATAGACGGGTGATCAATAGTAGGCAAGCAAGGGCAAGGGCAGCTAATTCTCTTGTCATCATTGACAACTTTCACAAGAATGTTGACTTGCTGAAACTTTGACTCAGGCTTTCATTATTCGCCAACTGTTACTCAGTTAAAGTGCCTGTCACTGCAACCCTTTTACCTCTTTCGAAACGTAAACAAAGTTTCCTTTTCAACATGATTTTGAAAATGGTGTTTTCCCAGGATGCATATCTTACCACAACCGGAAGTTGATCTAGTTAGTCGTAAAAAAATCGGACGCGCAGGTAAGAACACAGGTTCTAAACACAATATCGAGAACAATGTTATATGCAGGGGTAGCTAGCACAACAGCGTGGGGTCATTTCTTTTTATTCAATGCAATGTGCTTCTCGCCAATGTGTTGTCAAATGTCATATTCCAGCTCAGGCTAATTTTACTGACACTGCACTTTTTGAGAGCATGTGTGGTGAGAAAGACAATGGACAGCACAGTACCAAGTACTGTGCAAGGGGTGTCCAGTGTAAATATCATTCTGACTAATTGAGACAAGAGACAAAGTTGCACAATTTCAGTGGGTAATTTTATTAAACAGATGGCTTTTACATGCTAAGCAAGTAAGCTTACTTGCTTGGCATGTTTTTTTCCAGTTGAGACCTCTCGGCCACCTGGCGGCATAGCGGAAATATTTATAGTAACATTAGGATGCCGTGGGCGCGAGTACTGCCCTGCAATAGCAGGGAATAAACGCCCATAAACCTGCGGGTACAGTGTTCGAAACACTGTACTTTAGAATATGGCTGTATTCTTTAGATCGGGTGGCGGCTAACGTCATTTAGCCCTAATACTTAGCGAATAAAAAACTAGATTTATCTCTTTTTTTCCTTTAAATAGTGAAGTTGAGGACTGTTACCTTGCAGTGAAGGGTTTAATTTTCACTCGTGCCTTGATTTTAGCTACCAACCTTCTTCTGGATATTTCTACCAGATTTAAATCTGTTTTGCGCTCCCTGTACCTAAACCCCAGTGCTTTGAAGAACCCTGCGCTATCATCCTGAACTATAGGGTGAAGCCCTTTACAGAACATTATCAAGTGTTCGGCAGTTTTCTCCTTTCCACACGCATTGCATACTGTTCGTGTCTACTCCTTCGTAACTAAGGATGGATGGATGTATTCGGCTGTGCCCTTTAGATTGCGTTGAGTTATGCTGTAGATTAGGTAGGATATACAGTAACTCTAAGATTGGATGGTGGCTCACACCACCTAGCCATAAAGTTAAGTACTATCATTGTTTGTTTAAGGATTAAATTTCTATCGCGCCTCGATTGTAGCCACCAATCAGTTAGCCTCCTCCTGGTTATTTCTACCCGTTTAAAGTCTATTTTGCCTTCACTGGCCTTAAACCCCAATGCTTTGAAAAATTCGACACCATTATATTCGACTAAAGGGCGGAGCCCTTTACAGAACATTATCAAAATGTTCAGCCGTTTTTTCCTCCTCCCCACACGCACTACATACCGTGTCTGTGCCTTCGTAATTTTCTCGGTACGTCTTGGTCTGCAATACTCCCGTTCTAGCCTCGAAGAGCAGAGAACTACCCCGAGAATTATCGCAGATCTTCTCCCTTGCAACTTCCTGCTTAAAAGTTCGGTAGGCCACCACTGATGATTTCGTAAGCATTTCCATCTTCCACATGTCTCTCTCTGTTTCCTTCACCTTCTTATTAATCAATCTTTCCTTTTGGCTTGGTATTCTGCTGTTGTCTAAATACTTGCTTGACAGTTTTCGAGTTCGTTTCCTTCATTTAGTATCGGCATTCTTCATGTACAAGTAACTAAAAACTTTCCTAGCCTAACGCTCCTCTCCCATTTTTCTCAGTCGCTCCTCAAATTCTATCTTGCTGCTAGCTTCCCTGCACTCAAACAATGTCCATCCCATGTCACCCTGTACCCCCTGAATTGGGGTATTCCCGTGTGCTCCCAAAGCAAGTCTACTATGCCACGTTGTTTAATTTCCAATCTTACTTGAACTTCTGATTTCACGCAGAAGACCGCATTGCGGAACGTCAAACCCGGGACCACGACACCTTTACAAATCCCTCTCACAATGTCGTATACCTATTGTAGTTGCACAGTGCCCTGTTTTTCATTACAGCTGCATTCCTGGTGCCCTTAGTCATTGCGTATCTTTCGTGCTCCCTTAGATACTCAGCCCCGTTATTTCTCCACACATCCAAATATTTGTATTTATTCACTATTTCCAGCGTCACTTCCTGTATCTTACCCTCACTGCATGCCTTTGTTATCATTAGAAATCGTGATTGCCAATTTTTCCTTGCTGAACTTCAAACTTAACCTGTCTCCCTAATTACTACATATGTCTATCAATCCCTGCAGATCTTCCTTGTTGTTGGCTATTAATACTATATCATCTGCATACATCAATGCTGGTAACGACTGTTCAATGTTTTTCTTGCTTGGCAAAAGAAAGGCTGAAGTCGAGTCGACTCCTTTCTAATTTGGCTTCTAGTCCCTGGAGATGCAGCATAAATAACAAAGGTGACAAGGGACATCCCTGTCGAAGCCCGCGTTGTATCAGGTTCAGATACCTGTTCTTCCCATTTGATAACTACCTTGTTATTTTTATAGATATCCTTTAGAAGATTAGTTATTCCATCTTCCACATCTAGTGTGTCCAGTATTCCCCACAAGTCTTCTTGAATCACACTATTGTAAGCTCCCTTGATATCTAGAAATGCCAGCCACAGGGGCCAGTGTTCTTTTTCCTCTTTTTCAATACACTGCATCAATGAAAACAAATAAAGTAGCAGCGGCGCCACCTGGCAGCATCTGCGTGAAAGGTGACGCCGGAGCCCGGTCGGTCGGGCCACTAAAGTATATTCTAATTCACTATATTCGCGACCATAGAGTTTCTTAAAATTAACTAGAGCGTACTCGGGCGCTGCGATCGTTCAGCGACCATGAGAACCATGGAGGAAGGAAAAAGTTTTCCTTCCTCCATGATGGGATTGATGAGTAGTACTATAGTGAACTAGATAGTTCACTATAGTAGTACCAACGCCTCCTAGGAGGCGTTGGTTGTTCACACAATCTTCGTACTTCCTCAGTCGCAAATAAATGTTTTATTCTCTCTCTCTCGTACTTGTGGGGGGCGAGTAGTTCTTGCAGCTTCGTTTATTGCTGTGTTTCGGTTTTGTTTTGAAAGAAAGATTCAACCCTTTTATACTTCGTGACTAGATTCGGAAAGATAAGTCTAAAAGAATAAGGTGGTGAAGCGCACCCGCTGAACGTTTGCTGATTTTTGTTTCGTGGGAAAACAGCTCCAAGCCACACGGTCACACACAGGGCCAAAAGCAGGCCAGAAGTACAAAGATTAGACAAATGTGTGTACTACTGTACTACCAGAGAAAAACAGTCACGTGAAACCTTGGCTCACATCACATAGAACGTCACGGCTCGAATGGGCCAATCGCGTGTGACTAAATGGAAGACTGCCTCCGTCTGGTTTTGGAATTTATACATAATTGCACCACAGAGCCCCCTAGATTTCCTTTGCCTGCCGGATCATCGGCGGTTACTCGGGAAGCGGCCGTCGTAAGAACTGCGGTAGTGGCGTCACTTAAGTAGAGTTGTCTTCAAATAAGTTTTTACGTTTTTGGAGCTTATATCCGACAAAAATGATGTAAACAAGTTTTTAAAAGGCGTAAGCATAATTATAATTAATCCTACGTAAGTGACACCGCCGTAGATGACAGGCGTTCTGCGCTCATTCAGCAGGCAGCCCCTTCAATACAAGGCGTAGCCTCTGAAATTAGCAAATGCCAAAATTGCTAATTTCAAAGGCCAAGTACAAAGACCCTTACCGCTACGTAGGTAGCGCTGCCATAGATGACGGGCGTTTCGTGCTCATCCGGCAGGCAAGAAAAATATAGGAGGCTATGGTACTACCCATCACTCCCATGCTCGTCGAAGCGCCGTGCGTTGCAGCGCCAGAGTTCCCTCTGTATATATTAGGATACTCTAAGCTCACGACCACGTCCTCCATGCTCGTGACCATCCTTCCAAAAAAATGGCAGCATATCCACGGGGTGAATGATGGAGAGAGGGGCGAAGCATCTGCCCGTCCATTCGTTCTTGCTTCCGTCCGTCTATGCGTCCATCTGTGTGATCGTCTGCACGTCCATCCGTGTGTCTTTCCTTGCGTTCGCCCATGCATACGCCCCTGCGTTCGTCATTGCATCTGTCTGTGTGTCATTTGTCCATCTAGTCAACACTCCAAGTACCACCATCTCTCATCTTTTCATCATATATGCGTCCGTCTGTGTGACTGCCCGTGCGTCCATCCACCTGTCCGTGCGTCCGCACGTCCATCCATGCGTTCGTCCACGCACTTCCCACCTTTAACCACCTCGAGTTCATGGAATATACTAGTTCACTGTATTCATGGCACTGCGGCCCAATGCTCGCTAAACTTTTCTGAAACCAAGGAGGCTACGCCCAGCGAGTATAACCTAGCAACCCTTTTTTGTCAGATAGTGCTCAATGTACATGCCAATGGCTGCTGATTGGGGATGAGAAACAGGAGAATTCGGCTTTTAGTTAACGCGCACGCTGCGAATTTTTTATTGTTCAACAACGCACAGGAGAAATCTCCCACCGGCACCACCTTGCAGGTCAAAGCGTAAGACTGGTTACGCGCTACGACGAGGGACGAACGGGTGCCGCTTTTTAAGCAGTTTCGCCCCTAAAAGTCAAGCAAAAGCAAATATGGCGACGCGGGGAGCGGCGGCATGAGCAGGTCGTAAGATTATTGAGAAGGTCGTGCGCAGCGTATGCTAAAGTTTGGAACCGCAAATCACAAGCCTGCGCTACTTTCCGCGTACAATAAATGTTATGGGATTCATGCACTACAAAAGCACTGACGAATGTTATACGCACCTGAAACAAGGCGAGTTTTAACTGAAATGGTCAGACGTTAACATTTAACGATCTCAAAGTGGTTGCAGAAAATCTCCCTAAGCTGATGTGTGTACTCTGCGGGCTATAATCTAAAGCGCGATTTGCCACGTATATTCACCAAAACGTCGCGTCTCGCTAGAACGAATCAGATTTATCGTGTCACGGATGGTCCGGTATATTCGTTGATGCACAAACCATACGAAGTGGTCTGTGTTCAAACAAACATACAAACTGGTAGGGGTTCTGTGCTACCACGAGGGACGATCGGGTGCAGCTTTAAGGAGCTTCGCCCCAACACTCGGTGTTGCGTAACTTAACACGGAGTTCTTACGTTCTCTCGTGCATCGCCGAGATACGGTGGCTACCACCATGGAGGAACCAAGGTTTCCTTCCTCCGTGGATACCACTGACCTCCCCCTACTAGAGATCAGTGGCGGCTACATATCTAGAGTGTACTAGAAGTATCTGGGAGTGTACTCTGTAACATAACCGAGAAATGAAATCATCGCCCACTTTTTCTCACGCGCACTTTTCCTCCAGCACGGGCTCACCACCTCCTTCCTGCGCTTGACGAATCACTGCAAAGAAACTGATCACATGACAAACAGGACCAATGTTTACTATCGAAAAGGTGAGTCATGTAGGTGTGGTTCTGTTACAGTGTACTAGAAGGGGGCAGTGGAATGTACGAGGCGGCCGCGCGGCATCTCGGCTGATTCTCCGGTGGGTGACAGTAGCGGCGGCGCTGTTGTCTTATGATACTAAAGATCTCGGGAGCGTCTGCAACGGGAGCGTGCGCGCCGAAGCCAGCGAAAGCGTGTTATTGCCCGTTTTTAGCGCACTTAACGTGTTTCTGAGGCTTTATCAGTGAACGCACCTGCTGCGCGCCAAAATTGCGTCTCGATACATTCACTGTTTCAAGAGCCTGCCGACACACACACACACACACACACACACACACACACACACACACACACACACACACACACACACACACACACACACACACACACACACACACACACACACACACACACACACGCACGCACACACACACACACACACACACACACACACACACACACACACACACACATATATATATATATATATATATAAGGGAGAGAAGTGTATACCTAAGGGCTCGTATTTCCGTGTTTTAACACAATATTAATGAGATATAACAGACAGTAATGCCAAGGAATGTACAGGGGAAGTTATTAGAACCAATGGAATGTAAATAAGAAGAAAGAAAAGTGGATGAAAAAATTACCAGCTGCTCTGCTGGTAATTTTTTCATCCACTTTTCTTTCTTCTTATTTACATTCCATTGGTTCTAATAACTTCCCCTGTACATTCCTTGGCATTACTGTCTGTTATATCTCATATATATATATATATATATATATATATATATATATATATATATATATATATAATTAAGTACACGCATTTAAGTCACACGTCACCGCCCCATTACGTATATTTATGCAATGCCCCTTAGCACAGCTACTATATTTAGGCGGTGCACTTCTCGTCCGACTACGTTAAACTTGAACTAGTTTTAAGACGCCATACTGTCGAAAAGGTGAAATTTACAGTGCGCATTTGTACAGAGACCCGCTATATTCAGCTTTGCCAACTGTAAACGTTCGGCGCAAGGCTAGCACCCAAAAGTTTTTTTCTTGAGGGGGGGGGGGGGGTGCAGCAGAACGACTTACTTTGGCAATTGGTGGTCGCTGTGAATGCGTGTAAATATTTTAGTATACCCTAGGAAATTCAATTAAGAAAGGATCTCGTGGTGTAGGGGGTTCAGATTCGATTCCTCTGCCCTCTCTACTTAAGGCTTCCTGGTTCTGCGTGCGCTTGAAACGGTATTTTTTAGAAATCTCACAACTTTCTGAGCACAGCTAACTTTCAATAAATCGGCTCAGCTATTCTGAATTATTTTCGATCTCTCACAAGGGCTTTTATGGAGCGCAAATTCAGTAGATTGGCGTGTCATATTTCAGGGGCTACGGCATTGTGTGCTAGACATGAATGACGGGCAGGTACGAAGAATTCTGCATCAAGAAAGCGCGATGGAGGAGCCGAAGCGCATAGCAGTTCCTGCACGCGGTGCGTGGCTTTTTCAGTACTATTCGACTGCAGCGCCGTCGCTACGGGCAATGCGGAAGGAATCAGGCGGCGAGGAGTACACTCAAACTGGTAGGCACGTAGGTGTTTTTTGGTACACTCTAGTTCCGTTTTGTGGTACAGTGAGCCTTGGGGAAGTAAAAGTTACCGACAGAATCGTCGAGAACATTTGAACGAGTGCAAGTCATTTGAGCGCGAGCGTATATATATATATACCACCGAGGGGCGCATTCGCCGTCATTGTGGAGTACCATATCTTCGACGTTGTCGCAAACCTCAAGTAAGCATATTTTAGGCCTTGCTCTCGGCTCGTGTCGTACATAGTTCGTCGTAGTATCATATTCAATCTTAATGCGATGTCTCGAGGGACTTGTCTGCTCTTAGATGTTTTAATGACTGATCGCTCAATGTGCAAATACGGAAGCACACCAGAAGCGGCGCTCGCGCTCTTTTGGGGTACAGAAGCGTGGCGGTTTGGGCTAGTTGCAGTCATGAGCACGTAACCAGTAAAGAGTAACAGGGTTACAGTGTTTACATAAGTAACCTGTTACAGTTAATCTGAGGAAGTGACGGCGTACTTTTGCGTTACTGTACAAAATATGTAATAGATCAGAAAGCAAATGACTTTTCCGTTACTGTACAAAATATGTAATAGATCAGAAAGCAAATGATAGGATTTATTTAATGAAAACATACGAAGGCTTGCTCGGGTAGTCGGAATTGCCCGTGGTAAAATACTAGACGCAGGAAACCTAGAAGATGGCTCAACACCAGCCTTCTTTGTGTACGCCTGATTATGTTGCGCCAATTTATTTGTTCATGCACCTTGGTTAAAATGGACTTAATTTGCAATTAATAGTAATGATCGTCCTTGCACACTAGACAGGGAAAGCGTAGTTGGTGCTATGGAACGACAACATTATCCTAGGATGCTTATTAGCGATACCCAGAAGCACATGCGAAGAGGAATGGAAAATGCGTCACGGGTAAAGACGTTCAATGTGACTATTTCCGATGTTCAAGGTGTATATGGCTCTGCGTCCGCTGGGCGCAAAGTTCTCCTGTAAATCTACAAGCACGATGGGGGGATTGCGACGCGACTTAACATCGGCGGAATGGGCAGGAAGAAAGGATCGACAAATGGGGTATTGCTAAAGCAACTCGTGTAACGCGTTCTAGGACGGAGTTTGTTCAACATTGCTGGACAACTGGACATAACTTTGACATAAGCAATGCGATGACGCTAGCGCGTGAACGAAGTTTGGGAGGGGATGCGGGAGAGAAAACAGCGAGTCGGAGTTACCGTATTGCGCTCTGCTGTGTTCTAGCCGCCTGTCAAACAAGATTAGCTCAGAGCCTCGGACGAAGGAGACTAAACTTGGCGTCCTAATCATTCATCGATACACCAAGAGCAGAGATGGCAGCTCAAGTGACCAAAAGATATATATGTGAAAAAAACGGACTTGAACTTGGTCTTAGCGACCTCCACTCCCACGCTGCGAGGGGAGCGGTGTTGTGGAAAGATAAAAAGTGGCGAGAAAATGGGAAAGTAACTAACGCTATTTCCCGTCGCAGTTACTGCGTGAAAAAGTAAGTGTTACAGTTACAAGTTCCTATAACTTAAAAGTACCTTGTTACAGTTACACGTTACTCAAAGCAGTAACTAGTTACCAGTAACATGTTACTGTAACTAGTTACTGCCTAAGACTGGCAAGTTCGTATGACATGACAATTGCTCTATATAGCTCAAGAATGGAACGACGACTTGTCCCTTTGTCGACAGTGTTCTCGCGCTGTAACAATCGTCTTGTGTGGTGGCTTGATTTGCGCATTTAGCAAGCTGTCGTTTGCTGTCCTTTTTGGGCTTGTGTACATGGGAAATAGCTGCGCAGAAACAAAGGCAAACATAGAAAAAAAAAAGGGGGAGTGGGTGTGTGTTTGTAGCAGCAGTGATAAGAGGACCATTCGTTTCACCTGCACTTCGTGAAATGGTTCACGAAAGCGTTGCACTTTAGCATTCATTTCGAGAGTTCAACATGGTGGCACCGCAGTATTGGTTTAGAAAAAGTGCAGCTGTCGTGCAAGGCCAGTTCGCGAATTCCCTGCACCTGTTCGTGATGCGAACCCCTTCCTTCCTGAAGATCCGCGCCGACATCTCGTACGTTCCCTGAATGTATGGAACCGGTACGCGTTTCGGGGGGCTGCCAAAAACGGATACCCGAAAACTTCATTCGAGCCGCCACCCGCCACGCAGAGCAACAGAGGATACGAAAACCCCAGTCAACCTTAATTGGCAGCCTCCCAAAATGCGTACCGGTTCCATACGTTCTGTGAACCAGCTAGATGTTGGCGCGGATCTTCAGGAAGGAAGGGGTTCGCATCGCCCACGTGCCTTGGTGTACGCTGGGCCGCCTCCTCCCCCGCCCGAAAGACCAGCCAACAATGGACAGGAGCCCAGGTGTCGTTTACAAAATTTCGTACGCCGAGTGCTCCTCGTCGTATATCGGTAAGACGAAAAACCCACCGGAATGACGCAAGCAACACGCCAACGATGTGAGGAAGTTCTACAAAGAGCACAGCGCAGTCGCCGGACATGCTGAGACGTTGGATCTCAAAATAAATTTTGAAGCGACGGCCATCCTTGAAAGCGAGCTGAACTGGAGGAGAAGATTGTTACTCGAGTCGTGGCACATGCAGAGGACAGCCCATAATATCAACCGCTCTCTTGGAACCCTTCCCCCAGTGTATTCACGCGGACTGCACTCCACGGCAAAACGTGAGAGAGAGAGAGGGGTGTCATTAGCCACCCCGCAAGTGCTTTGTAGACGCCGTTGCTATGCAGTCTCCGTAGTCACCCCTGAGGAAGGAACCAAGTCGGTTCCGAAACGACGGGTTTCTTCAAAACTTTTGGTTGGAGTCTAAATCATCTCCCATCTATATGGTCCGCGAATCCTGGAACCATGTCATTTTTCTTCTTGAGGCTTTTCATCTTGGTCTAAAGCTTGGCCTGTTGGCGTGCCTTGATGTTGTCCCAACGTTTCTGGTGGCACTCTATCTGATGTTGCTTGACGTTGTCAGTGCTAGAATCGCACTTCTTGCGCCTCTTCTGCTGCTGCTTTTCACACAACTTCAGTGGTGCCTCCCTCAAAATATGGTCACCTCTGACCTTGATCTGTTCTTCCTTGTCCAGAGCCCAGTGACATTTTCGCTTCTCCTGAGCCCCTTTTGCACGGCACATTTCACATTCATTAAGGTGCTTCACCTTTTCCGCCTTCATCTCCTGTTTACGGACAATCTCCTTTTTAACCTTAGGCCGTGCACCTTTACTAGTGGACGAGTCAGTGAATTTAAGCTGACTGTAGACAACATAACTGTCGCGGTAGAAGGCAGCTGCACTCTGTGGTGCCTTTTCCGCTTTCGTGTTACTCGCAGCGGCTAGGCTTCCTTGACTCGGCTTGTGTCACTTATTGTGGGTTGGCTTAGCAGCTGGTTCGTGGCTTGTTTGTTGTTCTTGTACTTAAGTTCTGCAAGTCTTTAACCTCAGGGAGCCTCAATCTTACGGCTGGGACGCTGTTGAAGCTTATCCAGAGAACTGACAAGTTCCCATGCTGCTGAGTGGATATTTGCCTTGGCAGCCCATTTTTTCTGTTTTCAATTTCTTGGCCTACAGCAGCTGGCTTGCTATCTGGTACAGTCCTTGTTCTGGCTGTGCCGATTTGGTAACCGAGCCTTGAGCATGAAACACTTGACATTGGCGCTCCATGAAATCGCAATCCTTTTTGCCTCATCTACATGTTTGACGTGCATATGGTAATGCATCTGGCAAAAGGTTGGTGGAATGCTCAGCCCTTTTGCAGAGTGTTGAATTATCATCATTTGTGGCGAACAGGTTAATAGGTTGATGCGTGACGTCGTTAACTGCAGTAACTTCTTGCTACTGTGGGCCTACCTGCGCACAATGTAGCCATGGCATGTCCAATGTAGCAACCCTCATGCAAAGTGCTGCATCCTTCGCTTCATATGGCTTCAACTCGAGCAACACTTTATTCTGTTCGACGGGTAAGCATGGTGTTTGGGTGTTGTCCGGCAACGGCGAAAATGGCGAACAGGCTGTAGAAGATGTTGCTTGTGTAAAAAAAGGCGTAAAACCATCGGACAACAGCATTAGACATACTTGGGAGCGGCTTCTCTAAGCATCGCATAACAACACCGGTGCTGGAATGGCGAATTTCTGTTGGATGAGGTGTCCGGGCAATAAGCTCGGCATGGGCGGCTTCAAACCAGTCCTCTCCCAGGATCAAAGGCTAGGGGTTTCTAGCCAGAACAAGAACCTCAAGCACTGCAGAAATAGACCCCACAGTGATGAGAGTACATAACATAACAACTGACATGATGGCACCATCACCTACAACAAATACGGGAGGCTTGGACCATGCTAACAGGTTCCAAGATCCAACAACACTCGGATAGAGCATTGTGTGTTTGGAACCACTGTCCGGAAATGGATCAACAGGACCCACAAGTGGAATGCATGCTTTAATTACAGCACACTGCACAAATGGTTCTTCGAGTGGCTCTGAAGCTTGAAAGCAGGCCATGGAAGGAAGACTCATTTGCTGGCTCTGAGCATTGCGTCTGGAATGAGGGCACTTGGATGAAAGATGGCCAGTCTGCCGACAATGATAGCATGTGGCCTTACTTAGGTCGTACCCTGGGCGATCAGCTGGTGTGCCATTTCTAGAGCTAATTGCAGAGTAGCCGCTGTCTTGTTCTTCCAATGGTAATAAGGAAATGCAGCACGAGAGTGGTGACTGACCCGGATCGATTGGTGATGAATATTTCTCGTTCATACTACCAATCTGCTGCACAGGCATGGGAGGCACTCGTGACGTTTATGTTCTGGCTGCATTGGGTGGCTGACTTGGGAAAACAAAGGCATGCTCTAAAGTTCGTTCGAGTTGGGCGATGGTGGCAAGAAATGCACTCACAGTTGGTGGCCGTTGTGGAAACGTCAAAAACTGCTTTAGTAGGTCACTCGGCACTCTCGGCTGTCGAGTCGGGCCCACCAGACAAATAACTGTTCCGGGCGATGTCATGAAGCAAGCGTTCAATCATGTCTTCCTTCGAGCTAGTCGTCTCCAGGTTACGGTGTGAAAGTTTATGGCGTATAAAGTCCGCTGTGAACCTGTGGAGGTTCCACAGTGGCCTCATTCCAGTTTATAAGCGGCATTGCGGTTGGTGGACGGGCGGGCAAGATTGAAGGAGGCTTAAGTCGGGCAA